GGAAATTTCCGAGTGAAATACACACCTAGCAGAACAACTATTCAATGCAAAACCAAGGAACAAACAAAACAATTGAGAGACCAGTTCAATGCATCGAACACAGAGTACCACACATATACATCTCCTGAAGATCGAAAATTTGCTAAAATAATTTACAATTTCTATACGGAGAAAAATGAGGAAGAAATTTTAGCCCTAATTAATACAGATGACCTGGATGCCTCCAAAGTCAGCAAATTAAGAAACACCAAGGAGCCAGTCTATTTAGTATTATTTAATAGGCACTACACACTCGGAGATCTAAGGAAGCATCATCCAGTTGTTGGTAGTACAGCAGTGAGGTGGGCCCAGTACTCCAATAAAAGGGAAATGGCGCAATGCAAAAGGTGCCAGGAATGGGGACATTCCACGTCAAATTGCAATGCGGCGTATAGATGCCTCAAATGTGCTGAGTGTCATCCTACATACGAGTGCCAAAGACCGCGGACTATAGCTGCCACATGTGCAAACTGTGGAGAAGGCCACCCCGCAAACTCAAAAGATTGTGCAGCGTACTTACAAGCACTTGAAAAACGCCGCAAGAAAACGAAAAAAGACCACCCTCAACATGTGCGACGAGAAGCCTACACAGCACGCAATGAAGACTTTCCAATACTACCTGAAGCTAGGAGGACAGCAGCATCGGCTCTCCCTAAGCAACAAACAAGGACACATGCCTGGCAAGGCCCACAAGTGCCTCTACCGCAAACACAAACCAGGCAAGAAACCAACACCAGAGCCGACGAATTCGGCGAATTAATGGCCGAACTCGACAAACTTCACTCTATGATTGACGTAAGTAAAATGCTAAGGCAGATCAAAGAACTAAATGTAAAACTATCAAACGCTAAAACCGAAAATGAAAAACGCTACATATTTATGACTTTCAACCCGAATGGAGATAAATAATTTAAAAATGTTTTTATGGAATGCTAATGGGCTAATAGCCAAAACTGGAGAAGTCGGAATATTTCTCGAAAAATACAATGTCGACATACTAGCCATCAATGAAACAAAATTATCCCCAGACAAAATACTTAAGATAAAAACTACGACATCATAAGAAAAGATCGCGATAATTTTGGGGAGGAGTAGCGTTCCTAGTCAAAAATAATATACAAGTATTACAACTGAATGATAAGAAACTAAGCCATTTAGAGCTATTGCAAATTAAAATTAATTCTCAACTCACGGTCACCACTTGGTACAATCCCCCTGACTGCAAAATTAAAACTCTTGACTTAGACACAATATTCAAACAGTCAGGCAAACATATTCTATTAGGCGACTTAAATTCAAAAAATGCATTCTGGAGTAAAAGTGCCCCAAATACAAATGGCAACATCCTTTACAATTATATGAACCAACACAACGTTACAATAATCTACCCAGATGATCCCACCAACTACCCAAATAACGGCAATAACCCATCTACAGTAGATATTGCTATTGCAAAAAATTTATCAGGTGAAGCAATGGTTCTGCATGAACTTTGCTCCGATCATTTACCAGTCCGTTTTAATTTGCATAACATCACATACCCACAAGAATCAAATAGAACCCGTTTAGACTACAAAAATGCTAACTGGGATTTATTCAGGGCAAACCTCAATAGTAACATTAAAATTCCGAACCAAATGTGCACAACTGAGAATATAGATCAGCAAATAGAGATACTAGTGAAAACTATAAAAGAAGCCATGCAGAAATCCATCAATAAAAATAAACAAAGCAAAAATAAAAACAGATTCCTGCCGACATATTAATTAAAATTAACCACCGAAACGCGCTTCGCAGATTATATAAAAAACAGGGACCAGGCTCTACTACTAAAGTGGCAAACATTAAATCAACAAATAAAAGCTGATATTAAATATAACAAAACAAAGTATGGGAAAGTAAACTGCAACAAATCACACCAAATCATAATTCTATATGGCATGTTGTAAAATCCCTGAAACCCAACGCACAAAATAATTTAGCTCCGTTAAAACTGCAAACGGCAGTTACGAATTTAATAATGCAAATAAAGCCAATATCCTTGCAAATCATTTTGCGAAATTAAGCTCTCACAACGGACAACCACTTACTCGGAAACAAATTGAAGTCGAGAATAAAGTTAGGGACTTCTTATCAAAAAGTGAAACTATAAATAACAAACTATTCATTAAACCAAAAGAAATAAAAGCCATAATTAAAACCCTACCACCTAAAAAGCCCCTGGCCCTGACCAAATACAAAATATTATATTAAAAAATCTGAGCCAAAAGTGCATAGTATTTATCACTGAAATCATTAATTCTTGCATTAGACTAAACTACTTTCGCACGGCTTGAAAAAGCGCCATAATCCTTCCAATCTTAAAGCCAAACAAGTCAACACATGATCCAAGTAGCTATAGGCCGATAAGCCTACTAAACACCCTAGGCAAAGTAGCTGAAAAAGCTATTCTACAAAAACTAAACGCAGAAATTGAAAACAAACAAATATTAATTAATGAGCAATTTGGATTCAGAGAAAGACATTCCACTATCCAGCAAGTGGTAAGGGTCATTAACGACATAAAAGAATCTTGGAACGAAGGAAAAATAACCCACATGGCTCTGCTTGACATTGAGAAAGCGTTTGACACCGTCTGGGTGCCTGGGCTCATATACAAGCTTATTCACATGAATATTCATCCCCAGCTAATCAAGCTACTACACAGCTACCTAACAAATAGATCACTAAAAGTAAAAATTGGATGCAGTATCTCAAAACCAATGAAAATAGAGGCAGGTGTCCCGCAAGGATCTGTCTTGGGACCTAAACTTTATCTTTTGTTCATGAATGATATACCCAAAACACCCAGTACGAAAATAGCATTGTTTGCGGATGACACCATTATTTACTCACAATCAGATAATGAAATTGTAGGGAGGCAAAAAGTCCAAAATCATCTCCTCGCCCTTGAGAAATACTATGAAAAATGGAAAATCAAAGCTAATCCTTTAAAATCTGAATTTATAACTGTAACCAAGAAACGTAAACTAAAATTCCGTCACAAAAATCTAACGCTTAACAATGAAAAAATAAATGAAAAAGATGAAGTCAAATATCTTGGAATTCATATAGACCAAAAACTCATATTTAAAAAACACATTACAAACTCATTGACTAAAGCAAACGCTGCACTATCGCAAATATATTCGCTAATGGCCAGAAATAGTGGTCTCAATGTTAAAACAAACTATTATTCTATAAAGCCACACTAAGACCAATCCTAGCCTATGGAGCTCCCATATGGGCAGGTATCTCAAAACCCATATCACAAGACTGTTACAATATGAAAATAAATGTTTAAGACTGGCCGTAAATGCGGATAGATATCGAAGAAATGTAGAAATCAGAAATGAAACGGAGATAATCAATGTAACTGACTTTATTCAGGACTTGAGTGAGAAATTCTATACCAAAACGACACTACATAAAACCCGCTGATTAAGAATATCACGAAGAGAAGAAGAACTGATAACATAACGAATAAATATAAATACACATATGAACACCTACCAATCTTCTCACAGACTTGGTAACTCCACATGTAATAGATATAAGTAGGTTTTATCATGCTCGCCTTTCCTACAGAAGTGAATAACTTAAGTACTTACCTGATAAGAATAGTTAAAATAAACCCCATATGGATACATAATATAGAAAGTGTATGTTAAACTGTTTGTGTTAGGTTAACAATAGGCAACAAACTATGTAACCAGAATTGTATTACTGTATATAAGCATAACATGTTTTTGCATAAAAAATTCTATTTTTACACCGTGTATGTATATATATATTGTTACTAGGAACTTGTAAATAAAGAGTTTATTAATCTAAATCCACGCGGGCGGCCCGGGTTCGATTCCCGGCCGATGCATATTACATTTTGTAATTTTATTTCACATCCATAACCAGGATTTGTATTACAAGTACTTTATCCCTTTAAAATTATGCAGACATTCTTAATTAGCATATAAAAATGCTTACACAATCTAACTGTCACTTTAAATATGATATTTAAACGCGAGAAGTTGTAGCGAAAGACTCGACAAAACAAAACTATGAAAACGCACAAAAAGCATACCCGTGGCGGCGGCACGAGCGGCGGCGAACAATGCGAACGTTTACCATTGTTGCAAGTGAGACATACGGACGGATTAAAATTTAAGCTTTACGGGAAATAATGTAGAAGTAGGAGCCCCGGTTTTTATTACCTCCGAGAAGAGTATATTCCTTATTGCCGGCTCTTGGGACTTGTTATATCGATACCCACCGCTGAACGCGTAGCCCAAGAATTATAACTAGCCGAATATGTTTTATAATCTGTGTGCTCGTGGGATTTATTCATAACGCGGTGGGGATTTTCTTTTCGCTGCCTCCAACTTTCGTGTGATACCCAAGGGGATGACTTATTGCTGTTTTACGAATACGTTGGATTTAATATGTTTCTTGTGTATGTATTTATTTATTACTTTATTGACATATTTCGCCATAAAAATTGGTATATTACGCTGTATTTTGGGTTGCATAGCATACATGACATGCGCGGTGAGTCAAACTTCGTGCAAACTTGCTTCCATGCATTTATAACCTTACATTTTCAAATAGTGCGCCAACGAAGTTCAAAGTTTTAAAATGCAAAAAATTAAATGTGAAAATAGAGTGAAAGTAGATAAAATAGCGTAAGTATTGCGTCGCTAAACTTTATTAGAGACTCGATTCAAACGTTCACTGCGCCTGCGTTTAATAAATCTCATCACCATAATTCTGCATAGCGTATATGATTCTTAATATACTATTGCGTATATTGGCAATTTACTTCGTCGTTCGACGCGCTGCATTCCATTGTTATCAGACTTGTTTTGCACAGTTGAGATGTTATTGAAGCGACCTTATCGCCGATTATTCTTAGTCGCGCAACAGAACGCGATGCACGCTTTTGCGTGAAGCGTAACGTGCCCTCAATAATTTTATATAATCATACGTTTTTCATTTATAAAAGACTAATTAGCATATGTGTTGTGTGCAGTACACCTCAGAACAGATTTTTACGCTGGTAACGTATACTTGTTCATCATTTTAATCGCGTTAAATTCTTTGGCACATATTTCTCCGTATAAAGCATACTACCTTGTGAATTGTGTATGATACATACTCATAAATCTTAAGACAAACTATCAGCATCTCGGTAAGATGCTAACCAAAAGTGCCCGAAACGTCTCTATGCAGGAAAGGTCGCTGCTGCAAGAAGCGACCGCCGACGCGTCTCCTGCCTGCCGGCTCATGCGGCAAAAGCAAATTTTGGTACGGAATGTGCATGTCGCGGGGCGGTCGGGGGGCAAAGGTGTACTTCACACACAAAGCCACGGTTGGCATCAAAAGGCCTATGAGCCTGTGTGAGTGTAAGACTTGAGATTGTGCGCGAGTGCTACGTTGGTTTGTTTACTACATTCCGTAGTAGATAAATATGGGCCCGAGACGTTGAAGCAACAGCATAACACCGTCGCAGGTATAGTATAGATGAACTCTTGATGTAAACAATCACAAGCTGAATTTTACATGTAAAAAACAAAACAAAACACAAAATAATTCAAGATATCTCGTTCGCGCATTCGATATTTATGCAAGGCAAGGTGAAACTGAACACATAGATTATAGTAGAACACATAAAATGCGTCAAACACCAACTACAAGGTCGCGATAGGAAGCCACGGACGTTTGATATTCTGTAGATGTGGGGTCGTTCTTATACATTATTGAATATAAACTGAAAGGCCATTGCCAAAACAGTGTCTGCACGCGTGTACGACAAGCGGAAAGGTTGGCATAAAGGCACTGCGACGATTTTAAGGGCGCAAGTATACAGGGTTTGAATTTTGAACGGATGAAACATTCAGGCGAAAGAAACGTGGAAATGTGGCACACGCATAATATTAGTATTGTCACAAATATTACATTACATATTTAGAGTGGAAAACATTGATTTACACTCACAAGCAACAGTATTCAAGTATTTTTCACACCTCGATGTGGGAAACGTGAAATGCATTGTTTTCAATGCTAATGCATTATATAGAAAACTACATTTTCGAATGAGGATGCAGGTAAATCGGATTAAGTTCTTAAAACTTTCCTCAAAGTGGATTTTTTTGAAGAACACTTAAATTCTTTCTAAATCATGATTGTATAGTTGTGAAACATTTGCGCTTCATAGACACAAACGATAATGCTGTTTACTAACGTATTTTCTGTCCAATTTCATTCAAGTTTGTTGATTCGCTCATTGTGCGCCCTTTCAATCTGTATTCATTTCTTTAATTCGTTTTGTTTGCACGTGCACGCTGCCATCGCGATTGTCCGTAGCGCATCGGACGCAAAAGTGTTGGAAAACTTTTGTTATAACAAACCATTATCTAATTACCGAGGACAATGCGCAGCAAAAAGAACATCAAACGAGAACAAAGTTCCATTACGCCGAGGCATTCTGCAGTGCAGCGGCGCTGATACGAAAAACGGACGCCACAAAAGCGCGCCCCGGCGTACTCCACTATTCGTGCGATCTTGCGCATTTCCTGCATCGAAATACGCACGCAACTCGCGCACCAACAAACTTAAGCGGCGAGTGCATCCGTCGAGAGTGCGAGAATGGACGGGTCGCCGAGAAATAAACAACGGCGCGCCGAGCAATACAAAATAAATAACAACGAAACAAAAAAGACAACAAGGCGCAAATCGAAAAGAGCCCCAGTGAAATTGTTAGGTGTGGCACTTGTGAGGGCAGGTGATAAAAGATAAGCATGAAACAATGAGCACTTGTAATTGTAAAAGAATGTTGAATAGCGTTTATTGAATAAGGCGTCTCTTAATCTGCGTCTGCTGCGCTCTGCTTGTACTTAGCTACTGCACCGGGCGCACGCAGTGCGCCGGTGTTGCGCGGGAAAAATAATGTAATGTATGTTGTGTTGTTGGTTGCCTACGTAACGCATTTCGGTAACACTCGACCGTCCTGACTCTCACTCGTCCTCGAGTGTGTATGCTGCGAAGCGGGCTGGAACCTTTGTGACTCGTGAGCTCTTCCTTACGTTTTCACCTCGGCAGTGGCGCTTCCACTTGCCGGAACTTCTTCTCCTGCAACGTCGTCAGCTTGATTGGGTCGCCAGATTTTGAGCTGGCTGACGTGTGCTGTTGTCGCGTACAGCTTCCCAGGCTCCTCTTCGTTCAGATTGATTACGCGGTATGTGTCATTGGGGAGCACTTCATACACCTTGAGCGGTCCTCTGTAACGGGGTTGCAGTTTAGTAGAGTCACCCGTTGCAACACTATTTGTCTTCATAAATACAATATCGCCTATGTCATAGTGGACATTTAATAATCTTTTGGCGTCGAACTGGCGCTTGTAATTTTGCTTTTCCTTTTCCAGTCGAGTTCTGACTTTTCTTTGTAAATCGCTAGGGGACTCGTACGTTTCCTCGTTGACGGTGAGGCAACGTGTTACACCATCGTTTAATCTTGGTGCGTACCCAAACACTACCTCAAAGGGCGTTTTTCCTGTAGTCTTGTTAACTGCGGTGTTTAAATCTCGTTCCGTGGATTTTAGTTCCTTATCCCATTTGTTATCTTCGCTGCAATTTCTTAGCAGTGGTAGAAGCGTACGGTTCACGCGTTCTACTTGACCGTTAGCCTGCGGATGTCGTGGTGAATTGAGCGTGTGATTTATTCCATGCTGATTGCAGAACTCGGCGAAGGTGGACGAGGTGAAACAAGTACCACGATCGCTGATGATACGCTCTGGGGCTCCAAAGTCCTGCACGAACGCTGAGAGGGCCTTGATAACCTCCGGAGTTTTCGTCGTTTTGGTAGCGTGTAATCGGACGAATTTGGTTAAATTGTCGACGATTACTAGTACATAGCGTTTGTGAGACGTACTCTCAACAAAAGGACCAACGTGGTCAATATGGATGACAGCAAAGGGCGGCGCCCCGAGGGAATAGGGTGAAGTTCGCCGGCCTTCTTCCCACTTTTGTTTTTCAGGATGATGCATTCAATACAACTGGCTATGTGCTGTTTGACATACTGTGTCATCTTCGGAAAGAAGTAGTGGCGTCGGATCTTGGCTACTGTGCGCTCGACGCCAAAATGTCCTTGTAGGTCATGATACTTTGTTACTAGGCTCTTTCGCATTGCCTTTGGGGCGACAAAGATCAACCTTTGAGTCTCATCCTCTTGAATTTGCTTATAGAGAATGCCTTGCTGAAGTACGTAACCATTTACTTCCGAACTCTCGCTTGCGGTACGTACCTGCCTGTTGAGTAACTCGATTTTGCGTTTGAGTAGCTCGTCAGATCGTTGGTACAGTACTATTTCCTCCTCCAAGGAAAGTATCGTGAACACGTTTCGGGTGATCAGATTCTCGACGGGAGTCTCACCCTCGTTTGACACTGGTGCGCGACTCAGCGCATCAACATGTATCATCTTTTCGCCAGGACGATGTTCTACCTTGAAGTTGTATTCACACAACATGTTGAACCACCTTGCTACTTGTGGATACTTTGTTTTGGCAGTATTCAGAAACACAATCGCCTGACAGTCGGTGACCACAGTAAACGGAATATTGATGAGATAATGTCGGAGTTTCTCGACGGCCCATACCACGGTCAGCAGTTCGAGTTTACTCGAGTGGTAATTACATTCAACATCGCTAGTCCTGCGACTTACTGCATAGACCAAGTGAAGTTTGTCATCGTGTTTCTGTAACAGCATAGCACCCAGGCCTTGGCTGCTCGCGTCTGTATGCAAGTAGGTCGGGCGTTTCGCGTCGAAGATTTTGAGTACCGGGCTCTGCGTCAGAGCGGTCTTCAAATCCTTAAAGGCAGCATCATGGGCAGACGTCCAAATGTAAGATTCGTTTTTGCGGAGCAATTTGTTCAAAATGGCGGCCCTGGAACCAAAATTGGCTATAAAACGGCGAAAGAAACTAGCCATTCCCAGGAAACGCCGTAGCTGGTGGATATCTGTAGGCGCAGGATACTCCGAGATCGCTCGTAGTTTCGCGGGGCCAGGCTCGATGCCATCGGCACTCAGAATGAACCCTAAATACTCCACACGCTCCTGCATGAAGTAGCATTTTCGATCCTCAGCGTTAATCCGGCACCTCTCAACGCCATCAGGGTCTTGGTTAACCTGACTCGCATGTCCTTCCAATCACGCGCAGGTATGAGGATGTCGTCAAGGTAGTACATCACCGTGTCATTACGGAGAGGTCCCAAAACCTTTGCATTAGTTTTGAGAAGTACGAGGGGGCATTGGTCAAGCCAAATACCATTCTGGTAAACTCACCCGTTTGGTCCGGAGTAATAAAAGCTGTCTTTCTGCGTGCTTCTTCCGACAATGGTACCTGGAGGTAACCATGAGCCAAATCAAGTGTCGTGAAGTACCTTGCATCGCGAATCTGTGTCAGATGTTCATCCATGTCGGGCAGCGGAAATGGCAATGGTTCGGTCTGGTTGTTCAACCGTCGATAGTCGACAACCATTCGGTACTCCCCAGTCTTCTTCTTCACCAGCAGTACAGGGCTGGCGTATGGTGAGGTCGTGTCGGTGACTAGACCTGCATCTCTGTATTCGTTGATGATGGTGTTGAGCGCCTCGCGCTCATCGGCACTACATCTGTAAGGCTTCTGGCGCACGGGTTGACTGCCCGGCACCTCGGTGATGTCCATTTGTAGGACCGTTGTGCATCCTAACTCGGAGGAATCGATCGCAATGGTATCGCGGAACTCGTTGAGGAGGCCATGCAGCTCGTTCACTGTGTCCGTATCCAAATTGTCGTCCACGTTGATGACCTCGAGTGGAATGGGTTGCTGGCGGGGCTCAGCTTGCTCCAAATTCAGTACCTCGCCCCGAAACAGACTCGTGTTCTGAGATACATGAGTGGGCTCAACCGCCCAATTGATCAGTGGAAAAGCATGCGTTTCCGTACCTGAGACAACCTCTACCAGGTTTACGGAACGTGGTGGAATGTTCGCTTCCGTCGTCACTCGATTTGACGCGCGCTTCTTCGCCTCGACTTCCAAAGCAGAGAACGGATCATCACTCCGGTACGTAAATATCAGGTCGTCATCAATGCGCATGTAGACGATAGACGGGTTCTCGGTGAATGGTCGACCGATGATGGCGTCCACGCTCTGAACGTCGTCCGGAACGATGCTAAAGACTATTTCTGAGAGAACCACACCATCGATGGCAACATCCGCCGTGACAAATCCGGGAGATTTGACAACATGGTTTGCGGGACCAAATGCCTTCAGCAAGGTCTCCTTGCGCTGAATGGTAAAGCCTGCGGCGATGGCTTGCGACGCCTTCAGGGTGCACTCCGAACTTCCTGGATCAATCAAGCTCTGGAACGCCATTCCGTTGCATGTGATTGGCTTCAAGTATTTGAGCACACCATCATTGTCTTGCGAAGTAATGATCTTTACTTGTCCATTACTCTTTGCGGCTGTCTCCGCTG